TTTTTTAAGATTTATTTATTTATTATGTATACAGTGTTCTGTTTGCATGTATCCCTGCAGGCCAGAAGAGGGAGCCAGATCTCATTACAGATGGTTGTGAACCATCATATGGGTGCTGGGAATTGAACTGAGGACCTCTGGAAGAACAGCCAGTGTTCTTAACCTCTGAGCCATCTCTCCAGCCCCGAGATGGAATCTTTTTTTTTTTTTTTTTTTTTTTTTTTTTGAGATGGAATCTTAATGTAGGTTTAATTTGCATTCTTCTGGTAGCTAGTGAGATTAAACATTTTTGTCATGATTATTAGCATTTTTATTCCATCTTTTGGATTTTGTCATTTGCCCTCTGCCCTCCCCCTCTCTTTTTCCAATGCTAGGGATTAAACCCAAGGTCTTGAACATGTCAGGCACAGCACTAAGCTACATACCTGCCTATATTTTACTTATTTTTGGTTTTTGAGACAAGGTCATGCTATGTAGCTTGGGTTTGCATTGAATTCAGATGGTCCTCCTGCTATGGAATAATCCTCTTGTATACTGTAAAGATTTGTCACTCAAATTTGTTTAGTAAAAGGTTGATTGGCCAGTAGCCAGGCAGGAAGTATAGGTGGCGCAACCAAACTAAGAATACTAGGAAGAGGAAGGGTGGAGTCAGGAGTTGCCAGCCAGATGCAGAGGAAGCAATATGAGAATGTTATACTGAGAAAAGGTACCAAGCCACGTGGCTAAACATAAGAATTAGGGGTTAATTTAAGTGTAAGAGCTAGTTAGTAATAAGCCTGAGCTACTGGCCAAGTATTTATAATTGACATAAGCCTCTGTGTGGTAATTTGGGAAGTGGCTGCTGGGTATTTGAAGTTGCTGGCGGGACAGAAACTTCTGCCTACATGTAGTGTCCAAATGTTTGGAAAGAATTTCCATATAAAACCTGAGAAAGCTTAAAAAAGGATTCTAAACACACAAAAATGAAGACAAACTTGGCTTCCTGGTAACCGCTTTTTCTCAGGTGGACTTTGTTTGCTGGTGGTGAGCAGAGGCATGGCTCCTTTAAGAGACAGCTTCCTGACTCAGCATTAGTGGCAAAAATGGGTGGCTCTTTTAAGAGACTCTACTACCAAACACTTATATGGTGTTTATGAGCAGCCAGCAACACGCTACTTCGGTGGCAGCATGGATCTAGAAAATCCCCAGAGTTGGGGTGATAAACATGGCTCCTACCAGTACCTCTGCCATGAAGCTAGGCACTCAGAACCAAGGAATAGGGCAGAGCCAGTTGACTAAGCCACTCCTGCTTACCAGCTTAAAGGCCTATGTGGTCAGAAAAAGAGATATGCAGTAAATACAGATTCAGATAAAAAGAAAAAAACCTCTAAATGGTTCACAGTGTGTTTAAAAATATATATGGGTTTGGGAGCGAAAAGAAGGTATAAACAGTCATAAAAAAAGAGATACATAGTTTTAAAATAATAAAGTCCTTAAAAAGAGAGTAAAGTAATATAAAAAAAAAAGGCCATGTAAAGATGGAGAATACATAGAGAGTCTGGATCCTGTGTGTCATTGTGTTGTATTTGAATTGTGTGACTGCTGAGGAAGGAGCAACAGCTGTCTAGGACATTTGATTATAAATGTTGGTGGATTAATCCAACCTACATATTTTTAAATTATCTTGACTTCAAAATTTAGGTCAAAAGATATGTTACTTTGGGGGAGGAGTTGTGTTTTTATTTCCACAGGAAATGAGAGACTATGGGTTAAGAAAAATCAGGTTTGATCGAGGAAGACCCTCTGAAATTCTAACTACAGACACGGGAAGATAAACCTAAAAGTACCTACAAGACATATAATGTAAAGTTTACCTGCTCAGACATAAAATAGAAAATTATCTTTGACTGGCTTATGTATAATGCACAGTTTACATCTGTATTAATTCAGAAATGTAAGTTACCTTTAAAAGTTTATATATTTTCAGAACAAGGGGACCAGACACCAAAAAAAATGGCCCAGATGATGCAGCATTCAAAACAGCTTCAAGGCTGCTAGTTGAGATGATCCAGCCTCACAGAATACTCTAGTCAGAACTTGACCATAATCCTAAATTTTCTCAGGGTCCCCCAAAGATTACCAGCACCTCCAATCAGGAGGAAGCCATCTTGAGAACTACGTCCACATTGCCAAAAATAAATTATGTTTGTCATTGTTTAGGGGGGTTGGTTACAAGTTGTTATGGATACAACTATTAATCTTACATATTTTACATTGGTATGGATTTTGGTTTATTGATACAAATTTAAGGTTAATTTTGTTATACCATATGTATAGTTCTACTCTTGTTTAGGGTATTATGTTTATGCAGCTCATTTAAAAATGTAATATATAATTAAGAAATACAGATTAATAGTCATAGATAATAGCAAACTTATAGTCATGTGCTGTGAAATGTTCTCTATGCTGTGAATGTGTTGCTCTGATTGGTTAATAAATAAAGTGTTGATTGGGTGGGACAAAGTATTGGTGGGACAAAGAGAGAGAATTCTGGGAACAGGAAGCCTGGGAAGGAGACACTGCCAGCCATCACAGGACAAGCAACATGTAAAGTACTGGTAAGCCACGAGCCACGTGGCAAGTTATAGATTAATAGAAATGGGTTAATTAAGATATAAGAACAGATAGCAAGAAGCCTGCCACGGCCATACAGTTTATAAGTATACAAGTTTCTGAGTGATTATTTTATAAGTGGGCTGTGGGACTGAGGGGGCTTGGTGGGACCCAGAGAGAAACATTCCAGTTATAGTCATGTTAGTCAGGTTTTCAAAGTCATACAGAGATATATTTCAGATAGGTAGGTAATCTTCAAACACTTCAAAGACCTATAGTGCCGGGCGGTGGTGGCGCACACCTTTAATCCCAGCACTTGGGAGGCAGAGGCAGGTGGATCTCTGTGAGTTCGAGGCCAGCCTGG